TTTTTAACATTTTTACATGAGTAGACAGAAACAACAGGCTGTTGAACATACCAGAAGAATCTTGTAAAGTACACATTCATCACTGCCGCTGCTCTTGCCTCCAATGAATTTGGTGTGCACCACAGCATACGCTACAGATTCCACAGCATTTGCAGCTTTTATGCTGAAAGAAGTGAGATATTGAGAAGCCTTGCCTTTCCCCTAGTATATCTAGTCGGGGCTCGCCTATTTGCATCTATCATCCCATAGCTCAAAAACTTCGCTACTGATGAAAGTGCTGCTTCCGTTATAGGTCCATTAGTATTTTGCGCTTTAATAACATCCAGAAAAGGTGACAGATACGTTAATGGGTTCATATCGCCCAAATCAGCGACCTAAAATGAGTATTGCATTTTGGTTCGTTGAAAATGAAGGTAAAAATCTTACCTCATTTAACACTTCTTTAAGATCTGCAAAATTACGTAAAAGAGGTTCCGTATCTTCAAGAGAAGGTGGTTGATGAGAAAGCTGATACTGCCTATAAACATGTCTTTCAAAAAATGATCCCTCATAAATAACTAAGTGATAGCTTTGACGAATCTATGACAATCATCTATGTACCATTCAAATGAGACCGTGATTTCTTTTCCGAAAGTCACAATTTCTAGATTCGTGCCTCATAATTATAATAATTAGCTCGCATTCATTTCAGAAACAGATTGATGTGATTAGAATAAGTTCTCGAAAATTGTATGAGTGTAAGTGAACATCTAACATGATTAATTCTGAAGTTTCCGCAAAAAAGTGCTAAAGAAAACTATAAAGGAAGTAATTAAATAAATGGATTTTGGAAGAAAAAGTGCAACAAGAAACCGCCAGCCTATCATGAGAACAACGAAACTTTGACCGAGATAACGTGCAAAAACGTAAGAACAGAATGTGTTCAAAGCCTTTCAAAATCGCCTATGATAAATCGTAAATATAATAAATAACATATTTCAAATTTTTACCTCCTGGCCTTGTTCAACAGTGCTATCACAGTATTTGCCTCGCCCAACACGATATAAACGCCATTGACGGCCATCGTGTCAGGCAGAATTGATGTCGCTCTGTCGTCTCAAGATCAATTCCTCAACAGGATTCAAAATAAATCAACTACAAATCAATAACTATGCAATACTATATGAAAAAACCATCAAAAGCAGTAAATCAAGGTGCACTCGATGGAGATCCAAATCAAAAATTAGATTTAACACAAGCATAGAACTGACAAATATAAACTCGTCTAGAACGAGAAGATTACGAAAAAGCAAAGGACTTTGCATATTTATTTACACAATACATGGGCTCAAAGCACATGCTTCACTCTACTTGCGGAAGCAAACTTGACTCTAGCTAGAATAATTACAATTCCGAGGTAGACAGATAGAGTGGCCTACTCAAGAATGAACTAGATGAAGTGGACCCGTATTTTGATGAAACATTGAAAATCTAAGTCGACATACGAAACCCCTCTGGTACTACGGAAAATTTGCAAAATCAGCTCCGTGGATAGAACCTCGAGGAACCGCTGTCCTTACGTTTAACGTCTTCTTCTGACTCCCAAAACCAGTGGTTCGACAGCCAACCGAACCTATAGTAGAAGTTGGGAATTTTTGAAAAATTTTTAAAATTTGCAAAATGAAAAACTGTGTTGGTCACTTTTCTTTTGATTTTTTTAGATGTATTTCCTAAAAAGTTCAAAAAGAAAAGTGTAGCATGAAAAAAATTATCACCTCGAAACCGGCCATATCCGCAAGCAAAGGCGAATTTGAACAAGTCCCGCTGGAACAGGGCCAAAATGACGAGAGTCTGTAGACGCTACGTAGTTATCGCCTTGCAGGAAAATATGCCCGCGTGGGACTCGCTTATTTGGCAGTAGTTCGCTATTGACAGGGTCTGACTCCTGTAAAGGAAGAATAGAAAAAGGAATGAAAAGAAGTGATTAAAAATCAATGCAGACTAAGAAAAAATTTCGGAAAATTTCCAGTAAATGACAAGATGGTCTTTCGGGAAATTAACTATAAAAAATATGATGAAAAGAGCAGATATTGAAAATAGGATTATAGAGGGATATAATCAATCAAATGGTGTAATTCCACATGACAAAATGAAATAAGAAATCATTTGAGATGTCACAAGATGTAAACGCATATTTTCTCGTGTTATAATTTAATGGTTTAATCTGCACATGTCACGTGTTGCAACAAGATACGAAACATTGTGAAACGTAAAAACCTGGAAACCCCACCTTAGCTATGACTCTTTTGCACAGAAGTTGCTCCGGTTCATGTGGACTCAAGCAACCTACGATATCGCCACGATGTACATTTCCCGACGTCACACCTTAAACTATCACAGATAATTAATCAAATCAGTTCTGTTGCCATTGGCTTGATAAAACGGAGCCTAGCTGCTACCGTATCCGCCATATAACCTTATTTTGCTCAAAAGTTGTCTAGTTATTCATCTTATACCACTTAGCCGACAAATTGCCGCGAAAACTTTTTCTGACCCACGTAGTTATGAACAGCAGTGTGCATGGACGAGCATTACTCTGCATACAGGAAAAAAAACTTGCTCACTGAATAGTTAGAGTCAAGCTTAGGAACATTTCCGTGCATCTTTAACTCAATGCCGATTTGCTAGCGTGGAGCAATGGGCTAATCGGTAGGTAGATATAGTAACTGACTAATATGATGCTTCATAGCTAACAAAACGTTTGAGTGGAGAGAAACCTTCCAGAAACTTTTCTGTAGTAACAAATATCAACTGAAAATGCGTAACGACGGTAACAGCGTAGAATGTATCGTTGTTTTGATAAAATTAAAGTAGAATGGAAAATAACTTATTGCTACTGGAAAAAGATATACAGTTCACGCATAGTGCATTTCCACTCTTTACATCAGATTTAGAGGGAACAGCTTAGTACAACGTAGCCTGCCGCCTGGAGAATGTTGCATGTCGTTAGATGTTTTCTGCCAGATGTCTGCGTTTTGAGAATTTGATGTACAGTGCGCAATTGCACTGTGTGCAGATGACATGTGCAATTGCCACTTATTCAGGAAATTTATTGGAACAGACTTTTGATGAGTTAAGTCCATTTTGCAACTATTATTCACCAAACGATCCATTTTTTTTTGCTTATGAAAAATGAATTTCAAGCAATCTCCTTCAAAATTTTATGAAAGCTTTCAAGCTACCGGAGTCCTTAGATCCTTCACATGCCGGTTACCTACACCTCGCCTGACTTGTTACAGATAAAATTAACTCTACCAATCGAAGAACATGGGTAAATCCTTTAAGGCACTGTTCAGCTATAAAGTCATAAAATTTCTAAGTTCCACAATTATTTGGCAATTTGCGCAGCAAAACGAAAATCACACAGAACAGCACATGCAGACGCTACATAAGAAGCACAGGATGCACACTGCGCGCAACATTTCATTATATTCAGAAAGTTTGATTGCAAACTTACTAAACAAGAACGAAAATTCAAATTGCTAATATAATACTGAGGCCAAAGGTAGAAAATAGAAAATCAAAGATGCAGACTCACTTAACCTCTCAGCTAGCACTAAATCACCATCGTGTATTGTTGGAAGCATTGATGGTCCGGAACAGATCACAAGTTCACCGACATGACGAGCAATAGTGTGGGCTACACAATAGAATACGCCTGCACCGGCTACATAACGAAAAACGCTTTTCTTTTGAAAAAGTCGTTTGGCTTGCATACTATAACTGGATGAATGAACAGGTG